AATATTACTGGAGAAGATGAATATAAGATTCATGTTAAGTGTCCATATACCTTGAATAAAATGAATAAAGAGACCTCCAGAATTCCAAAATAGTTCTATTTTGTGCCTGCCATTTTTCCAAGAGGCAGAAGGCAATGCGGACCAAAAGAAATATTTCCTTACTCTCTCTCCCCCCCCCTTCCTTCCCTTAGTTCATTTTTTATCTGTACATCAATCCTGTGATTGAGCTTGGGATGAGCGATGAAACCAGATCAAGGAGGAGAAGGAATTGAAATGTCTACCTAGTCCTCATTTTAGATGTTATACACATTAATGGAAAACAATTTAATTTTCAGTGTATTATTTCCACCAAGTCAGACCAATTCTCCCAAATCCTCAAAGCAGGCTAAAATGGGGTTGGTAGTTTGGGATTCAGCATGGTGTGGGAATCTGCTATGTATTATTAAGCTATACAAGTGATCCTCGATTTATGACAGGTCGCTTAGCTTAGAAAGTGTGCAGAGAAGAGCAACAAAGATGGCAACAGGTCTGGAAGCTAAAATCGCATGATGAAAGGTTGAAGGAGCTAGGTGTATGTCTGGCCTTTCAAGGAGAAGGATTAGGGGTGACATGATGGCTGTCTTCCAATACTTGAGGGGCTGTCACAGGGAAGAGGGGATTGACTTGTTCTCCAAAGCACCAGTGAGCAGGTAACAAGTAGTAATGGGTGGAAGCTTGCTCAGGAGAGATCCAATCTAGAACTAAGGAGAAATTTCGTGACAATGAGAACCATTAATCAATGGAACAGCTTGCCTCTCGGAGTTGTGAATGCTCCATCACTGGAGGTCTTCAAAAATAAAACTGCACAACCATTTGACCAGGATGGTGTAAAGTCTTCTGTCTTGAGCAAAGAGTTGGAGTGGAAGACCTCTGAGCCAGTGGTGAAATGTAAAATTTGTTGCTACCGGTTGGCATCTGTGGGCGTGGCTTGGGTGGTCATGTGACTGGGTGGGCATGGCCAAGTTTTGTTGTTGTTGTTTTACTTTTTTAAAGCAGTTTTTTACTAATGGTTCGGGCAAATAAGTAGTAAAAAATGCTTTTAAGAAGTTAAAAAAAAAAGGTTCCAATGATCACAGCTGTGCCACACAATCGTCGGAACCTTTTTTTTTACTTTTTTAAAGCATGTTTCACTACTGCAGTGTTTCCCAAAGTGTGGTACGCGTACCCCCAGGGGTATGGGAAGAGTTTGGTGGGGGTACGCGTTGCACCGGAGTTTGGTGGGGATCACGTGGTAATATCCACTGCACCGTGCTTAGCTGCGCCCACAGAACAAGGAAAGAAATAGGCGCGTATCGCAGTTTTTACACAGGAACTGGGGCCATCGTACATCGTATTGCAACTCATTATGGCGGGAACTTCTGCGCATCCTTCGCGCAGCTCGGGTTCGGCCATTTTTAAACTGCAGGAACATTAACAGTTGACGTTGAGCCACGGAGCTGTTTAAACGCCGGAGAATTGCAGTGTTATCTAAGTGTTTCCCAAAGTGTGGTACGCGTACCCCCAAGGGTACCATATGTTTTTTATGAGGGGTACTCAGCGTTACGAAAATTATAGAAGGGGTACACATATGTCATATGTTTGGGAAACACTGCACTACTGGTTCGCCTGAACCAGAGTGAGCCAGTAGCATTTCACCCCTCCTCTGAGCTCACTATGGTTTTGTTCAGTGGTGGGTTCCTCCCAGTTCAGTCCGGTTTGGCCGAGCCGGTTGCGGTGACAATATGATGTCACCGAACCGGTTCTGCCCCCCCCCACATTATTCTTGCCTTTTATTTGGCCCCACCCCCAATCTATTGCTGCCTCCCAGCTGATAGGCTAGAAGGAAAAAAACTGTTTAAACTCTTGCCGTGGGGCTTCAAAGGGCCGCCCTACAGGTGATCAGTGTTAAAAGGCAGTGTGGTGGTAGACCAGTGCCTCCAAAAACAAATGAGTAGACCGGTGCCTGCAAAAATAAATAGGTAGACCAGTGCCTCCAAAAATAAATGAGTAGACCAGTACCTGCAAATATAAATGGGTAGACCGGTACAGCTCTGCAAGCAGTTAAAAGCCTGGTAGACCAGTACCTCTGCTAAATCCTAAAGAATTGTCACATGACCATCAAGCCACGCCTACAAAATAAGCCACACCCACAGAACCGGTAGTAAAAAAATTTAGAACCCACCCCTGGTTTTGTTGCTGAAAACCAAAAGGAAACGCCAGAATTTGGCAAATCTACCATAAAGCACACATGGTCTCGTGACCACAGGACACTTCAAATGGCCGTGAATGCAGGATGGTGGCTGAGCACCTCGTGAGCAGTCACGTGACCTGGCTCTGGTTGGTGGGGCCTGGCTGTCAGAACTTTGAGTTCAGGCCATAAGTAGCCCCCAGATAGGTAAGTCCATCGTAACTTCAAATGGTCGCTAAGGGACTGGTCGTAAGTCATAGACTACCTGTAGATAGTCTCCAGCTAGAATACCTAGCTAAATCTGCAATTAATCTTTGCCTATGGCTGTGATGGCGAACCTATGGCACGCGTGCCACAGGTGGCATGCGGAATCATGTTGCCTGGCACACTGGCTCAGCTCTCAGCCTCTCTAGGAGACTCTGGAGGCTGGGAACTAACCGAAAGTTGGAAAACGGCCGCATTTGGGCCTCCAGAGGATCTCCGAGGGGGTGGGGAAGGCTGTTTTCGCCCTCCCCAGATGCATAGAGAGGATCTGGAGCCAGGTGAAAAAGAAAAACGGGCTTACTGGGCCATCGCGTGCCAGGAGCGGGGGTCGCGTGGGCACACATGCACAAGAACCTCCCCCGCCCCCCCCTTCCTGGCACGCGATGGCGAAAAGGTTAGCCGTCACTGGCCTATGGAGTAGCAGCATTTAGCTGAATGCTTTTTGTGTTTCTTTTGTGTGTATGTGTGTGCGCGCGGGGGCATGTGTATGTGTGTACTTATTTATTTAATTATTGGCACTGCCAGCAATCTACAGGGCATGTTATTACTTCGGCAGTATGTTTTTCACATCAGGTTAATCGACAGAAGAAGAAGAAGAAGAAAAGTGTTGGATGGCAGAATGAGCAACAGAATGTAGCCACAAAATTAATGATGATAGTAATTAGGAAGAAGAGTAATAAATGGAACAAAACAAAGAGGGGGAAACCTAGAAAGTGTTGTTAAACAGCTCCCAAAAAATATGACCGTGTTACCTGGAAGTCTTTTCCCTCGCCTTTTGTCAAAATAAGGATATTTTTCTTCAACGGTTGACAACCAACACAACACAACTTCTGATCAAACGTAGATTTTTTTTTTCCTTCCAAAATTGGATAATAATTAGTTTAACCTGCACTCATTCATTCACCCCAAGGCTGAATTTGTATTATTGCCACATTTGAAGCTGAAATGAGCAGCATTAGCAGCGCAAGTTTGCAGTCTGTTCCTGTGGGGGAATGAGGCATACACGTTCTTGGCTAAATCCCTCGTACAGGTAGTCCTCAACTTACAACAGTTTGTTTAATGACCATTGAAACAAATGACAACAGCACTGAAAAAAGTGACTTATGACTTTTTCACACTTAACGACCATTGCAGCATCCTCATGGTCACATGATCAAAATTCAGACCCTCGGCAACTGGCATGTATTTAGGACGGTCGCAGTGTCCCGGGGTCACGTGATCCCTTTTTGCAACCTTTTCACAAGCAAGGTCAATGGGGAAGCCCGATTCCCTTAACAACCGAGTTACTAACTTAACAAACTGCAGTGATTCACTTAACAACTGTGATAAGAAAGGTCGTAAAATGAGGCAGAATTCACTTAACAAATGACTTGCTTAGCAAACCGAGATTCTGGGCTCAATTGTGGTCGTAAGCCGAGGACTACCTGTATTTGAGCTGCGGTGGGGCAATGGTTAGAGTGCAGTACTGCCGGCTACTTCTGCTGATCACCGGCTGCCAGCAGTTTGGCAGATCGAATCTCACCAGGCTCAAGGTTGACTCAGCCTTCCATCCTTCCAAGATCGGTAAAATGAGGACCCAGATTGTTGGGGGCAAGAGGCTGACTCTGTAAACCGCTTAGAGAGGGCTGTAAAAGCACCTTGAAGGGGTATATAAGTCTTAAGTTCTTTTGCTTTTGCTATTTGGGATCTAGCACAAAGTCATTAGAATTGACTTTTGGGGGCCTGGGAGAGGCTTAACTTTAATCTCCCCCGGAGATACGGAGGATCCTGGATCTGCGCGTGTTTCGTCGTGCTCTCAAAACATTTTTATTTCAGCAGGCTGGCCTGGCCTAACTCTCCCTTTTAAATTTTTAAATCGTTTAATCTGTTTTACAAATTGGGTGTTTTAAATTTGTTTTCAGCCAAAATATTTAATAATTTTAATGGACTTTTAATGTTTGTATTATCTGTGTTTTATCTTGGCTGTTTACCGCCGGGAGTAGGGCAGTATAGAAATTTGATAAATAAATAAATAACATGAAGAGCCTTGGTGGTGCAGCAGACTAAAGTGCTGCTAAGTAGCACCAGCTGCCTGCAATTACTGCAAGTTCAAATCTCACCAGGCTCAAGGTTGACTCAGCCTTCCATCCTTCCGAGGTAGGTAAAATGAGGACCCAGATTGTGGGGGCAATAAGTTGACTTTGTATAAAAAAGAACACCGCTGGGTGGGGGGCAAAAGCCCTACTAAACAGGTATATACAAAAAGTATGAAGGCTATTGCTTAACGCATTGTAAGCCGCCCTGAGTCTCCGGAGAAGGGCGGCATATAAATCGAACCAATAAATAAATAAATAAATAAACATACACCCGTCAGTTTGAAAATGAAACAAAACACCTAAGAAAATACTACTGTGTTGTTTAAGTTCTACTATAAGGGAGGAGACTAGGGGAAGAGAAGGAAATTGCTTTCCATAAGGTCAGGGTGGGCAGTGACATCCCTTTTAGATTTAAGCGTCGTCGGTGTGTGAGTTTTGGAACAGACGAAGAATTAGCAGCACAGCTGGAAGGAAGGAAGGAAGAACGAAAGAATTAACTCAGAGCAGGATTGACTCCTGTGTATAGAGAGATCCAGGAGTCAACGAAATGGCCATGATTTCCTTGGTATTCCTGTTCAGTTTGGTCTGCTACGGCTGCAGTAAGTCAGATTTTCTGTGTGTGTGTGTTTATAGCCATATATAATGTTTGTAAATCTCTTCCAAAAATTCAATTCGTAAAGGCATCCATGCCTATGTGCCTATATAGCTCATCTGAATTTACAGTTATGGGGAGGTGCAGGGAGGAGACTCAAAAAAACAGAATTGCACCGATAGTGAACTCCAATGGATCGATTGCCATTGTATAATGCAAGCCGTTTTATCCTAGATACGTTTTGAAAAACTGGACCGAAAAAAGCGATAAGGGATAGTATTTATTTTTATTTATTTTATTTTATTTTATTTCCAATTTATATACCGCCCTTCTCCCTGAGGACTCAGGGCGGTGTACAGCCAGAATTAAGAACATAAGAACATAAAATACAAATATTAAAAACAATTAAAATATATATAAATTTGGCCCAAAAATTAAAAATCACTGCATTTGCTGCATTGAGTGCCGTTTTGTTCTGTCCAGACCTTTTTTGCTTCAAGTTCAGAATCAGAACGTTTTAGATTGGCTTTGCTTGCACAATATACTTAACTTGATTATGTCTATGGAGATTCTCAGTCATCCAGGTCATGGTTGTCCCAAAGGGGCTTTTTCAAGAGGCAACTAGACTTTCTGGTTTTTTATTTTTTCTTTGAAGGGAAACATCTTCAAAGAAATACCAGAAAATCCAGTTGCTTCTTGGGTTAACTTGATTGTAGAATAAATCCATCTTCTGTGTCTGCATAGTTCATTAAAGCCTCAATTAATTCTTCCAAGGACCAACTTCACTGCAATTTCATCCCCAGGTCTGTCCTTGGGAACAATGGGGAATCAGTCTTTACCTTTGGCATAGCAGATAACAGAGTTGGAGGAGACCTTGGAGGTCTTCTAGTCCAACCCAAGAGCCTTGGTGGTGCAGCGGACTAAGTGCTGTTATGTAGCACTTAGCTGCCAGCTGCCTGCAATTAGTGGGAGTTCAAATCTCACCAGGCTCTCAAGGTTGACTCAGCCTTCCATCCTTTCGAGGTAGGTAAATTGAGGACCCAGATTGTGGGGGCAATAAGCCAGGGTGGATTTGATTTAAATCGAGTTGATTTAAATCACGATTTAAATCATGATTTAAATCACTAGTAAAAAGGCTTGATTTAAATCAACTCGATTTAAATCATAATTTTTAAAGAGCAACTGTCATCTCTGCTACTCCTTTGACCCACTGTTGACTCACCGATAGTCCCAGTGTTGCAGAATATACAGCCTCATGCTACATAACTAAGCTCCATTTCATGCTGAATAAACTAAATTATTTATGTATCTTAAATAGAAAACTATCTTACGACAGATTTTTACCCCAAAAGTTTTTTATTAAAATAAATTCGATAAAAATCAAAAAAATCCAATTTAAAACAAAAAAAATCTGATTTAAATCAAAAAAATCTGATTTTTTTGATTTTTTTAAAAAAATCATTGATTTTTATCCACCCTGGTTTCCTACCTAAGCAGGGGGTTAGACTAGAAGACCTCCAAGGTCCCTTCCAACTCTGTTCTATTCTATTCTATTCTATTCTATTCTATTCTATTCTATTCTATTCATATATCTTCATGGAACGCCTTGACTCCAGAAGCTGTGAATGCTCCAACACTGGAAATTTTTAAGAAGAGATTGGACAGCTATTTGTCTGGAATGGTATAGAGTTTCCAGCCTCAGCAGGGGTTGGACTAGAAGACCTCAAAGGTCCCTTCCAACTCTTGTTATTCTGGGCACATATTTCAAGACAGAAAGGCAGGATGTAAGAAAGAAAGAACAACGAAATGCTGATAGGTTCACCCAGGATCTCCTGTACTGTAAAGAATCCTCATTGTAACAGAAGGCAGATCGGAGGTACAGTTGGTCCTTGATTTACAACCACAATTGGGACCAGAATTTCCATTGCTAAGCAAGGCGGTTGTTAAGGGAGCCATAGCCGATTTTGCAACCTTTCTGACCACGGGTGTTAAGCAAATGGCTGCAGTTGTTAAGTGAACCATGCCGCTGTTAAGCAAATCCAGCTTCCCCGTGGACTTTGCTTGTTGGAAGCTGGCTAGGTAGGTTGCAAATGGCGATCATGTGACCCCAGGATGCTGTGATTAATACCTGCCAGTTGCCAAGCGCTCAGATTTTGATCGTGTGACTGTGGGGATGCTACAAGGAGGAGCAGTCAGGAGTCAGTTTTTTCAGTACTTTTTTAACTTTGGTCACTAAATGAATGGTAAGTTGAGGACTACCTGTATATGTTTCTCTGTACAATTTTGTACAGATCTCTGTGCAGTTTTGACCATGTGACCGTGAGGATGCGACAACGTGCGCACTCCTTAAGTGTGAGGAGCAGTCCTAAGTGCTTTTACCAGTGCTTTTACCAGTGCTGTTGTAACTTCAAATGGTCACTAAATGAATGGTTGTAACTCAAGGACTATCTGTAATTTTTTTTCGGGGGCAGGAGAGAGAGAATTCAGGAAGAATCTGGGTTGAAACCTTGTAATCTGCACCTCTATAACTGTCTGTTTCGGTTCTGCAACCCAACAAGACAGACAGAGACTTCAGAGGATAATTAGAACGGCAGAAAAAACAATGGCTACCAACCTGCCTTCCATGGAGGATCTGTATACTGCCTGAGTCAAAAAGAGGGCTGGGAAAATATTTACAGACCTTTCACATCCTGGACATAAATTGTTTCAACTCCTACCCTCAAAACGACGCTCTAGAGCACTGCACACCAGGACAACTAGACACAAGGACAGCTTTTTCCCGAACGCCATCACTCTGCTAAACAAATAATTCCCTCAACACTGTCAAACTATTCACTAAGTCTGCATTACTATTAATCTTCTCATCGTTCCTATCACCCATCTCCTCCCACTTATGACTGTATGACTAACTTTGTTGCTTGTATCCTTACGATTTATATTGTTTCCTAGTATGATTCAGTTGCTTATTTGTACCCTATGACTATCATTAAGTGTTGTACCTTATGCTTCTTAACAAATATATCTTGTCTTTTCATGTATACTGAGAGCATATGGACCAAAGACAAATTCCTTGTGTGTCCAATCACACTTGGCCAATAAAGAATTCTATTCTATTCTATTCTATTCTATTCTATTCTATTCTATTCTATCTATTCTATTCTATTCTATTCTATTCTATTCTATTCTATTCTATTCCTATTTCTATTTCTATTCTATTCAGGATTCTGAGCAGGTAGAGGGAGGATGGGGCTTGCATCTTTTACAATGAACTGGACGGATGGTAGTTGCAGTCCAGCATAGGTGGGGAAGAGAACTTGGTGCCTAGAGCTGAGGAAGTTGTCCATTTGTCACAAACAGGTCTTCCAACTTCTAAGCCCGCCATCCAGCCTCGGAAGCCGCTGGTGGAACGTGGAGGCACTATTCAACTGATCTGTTCCATGGATTGTCCTGATGCTGAAGTGCAATGGGAAGGCCTGGACACCGACTTGGGGAACATCATTTCAAACCACACCCAGAGCATCCTAACGCTGAGCAATGCAACCATTAACATGGAGGGGACAAAGTTGTGCTCAGGACAGTGCCAAGGGACTCCCTCTCAGGCCAAGGTGGAGCTGAATGTATATTGTAAGTTCAAAAAGCATCTGCTGCTTGAATCTTATTTCTGGGGGAGGAAGGGAGAGGGGGAAGGGAAAGGAGTAATTTAAGACAGAAAACAGAATTAGAAGGAGGAGACGAGGGGAGGGGAAGGGAAAGGAAAGGAAAGGAAAGGAAAGGAAAAGAAAGGAAAGGAAAGGAAAGAAGGAAAGGAAAGGAAGGGAGGAGAGGAAAGGAAAGGAAAGGAAAGGAAGTAAATGGATGAAGAAGGGAAGGAGAAAGGGAAGAAAGTAAATAACAGAGAAGGGAGAGGAAAAGAAAGGAAGTAAATGAATGAAGAAGGGAAGGGGAAGGAGAAAGGGAAGAAAGTAAATAGGAATTGGAGAGGAGTGGAAAGGAAAGGACAGGAAAGGGAAAGGGAAAGGGAAAGGAAAGGAAAGGAAAGGAAAAGGAAGTAAATGGATGAAGAAGGGAAGGAGAAAGGGAAGAAAGTAAATAGACAGAGAAGGGAGAGGAAAAGAAAGGAAGTAAATGGATGAAGAAGGGAAGGGAAAGGAGAAAGGGAAGAAAGTAAATAGGAAGTGGAGAGGAGAGGAGTGGAAAGGAAAGGAAAGGAAAGACAAGGGAGGGAGGAGAAAGAAAGATGAAAGGGAGGGGAGGGAAGAGGGGGAGGGAGGGAAAGAAGATAGAAAAGAGAAAGAATGAAGGAAATAACTTTTGCATACTTGTGTTTGTAGTCATGAAAACTCAACCTTGTCTGAAGGGCATCTCTAACATTTTGGGGATAGACAATGATTGAGTGAATCATCGAATGAGGTTGTTGCTATTGTTCTTTATAACGGGAGCTATAATTATATTTCTAATCCAATAATGCCAGTCCTCTGGGTAGATTCCAATATTTCCTGAAACAATAAGAGGAACAAATGTCCCGAGAATATCATTACAGTTAACACAACGCAGTGCAATTAATCAACGGCCCAGAAAAGGAACACCACCACACGAACACACACTCCAGGGTGAAGCCGGCACTTAACCCCCGAAAGCAAAGCTACAAAGACACACAGCCGATCTCTTCACCTGCCTCCTCTTTTCTCAGCTTTTCCAGATACTTTGCAGTTGGACTCCCAGCCCCAAACGCTCACCGTTGGGCAGCCGGCTCGCTTGCTGTGTTCCATGAGTCACGTCTACCCTCACGGTGTCCTTACGTTGAGCTGGTTCCAGGGAGATGAACAACTGGAGGCTTCCAAGGAGATGGAAGAAGAAGAAATGGAAGGCTCAGAAGACCAGCTGTTTGTCTACCACTCTGAACTGGAGCTCCCGAGGGTGGCCGAAGATGTAACTTACAAATGCAAAGCAACTCTGGAGGTCGAAGGGGAGGTCTTCGTCCACGAGAGGGTTGCTATCGCCATCACTGGTCCCAAATGTAAGTTTCCCGGGCGGTCCACTCTTTCCTCAGACTTTGAAATAGGGCCATGGTGGCGAATCTGTGGCACGCATCTCTGCGGGCAAGCGAGCCGACGCCCAAGGTCAGCTCCACTGCACATGTCTGTGCGCCTCCTGACAGCCAGCTGATTTTCGGGTCTCTGCCAGGAGACGCGCATGCGCGTGGGTGGGGGTCGTGTGTGCAGGTGTAGGGGAGTGGGGGGAGTCGCATGCACGTGGGCGGGGGTGTGTGGCACCCCACCCCACCCCCCGTTTTTGGTTCCAGGAGGCTTCAGGGAGGCCCGCTAGCAGGGGTGAAATGTAAAATTTGTTACTACTGGGTCTGTGGACGTGGCTTGGTGAGGGGGGGGTGTAATGTGACTGGGTGGGCGTGGCCAACTTTTTTTTTTTTAACTTTTCAAAGCATTTTTTCTAATGCTTTGAAAAGCCTCTGCCGATCAGGCAACTCAGCTGGGATCGTCAGAGACTTTTCAAAGCATTTTTTTTACCACCTCTTTGGCCAAGAGGTTGCAGAAAAAAATGCTTTGAAATGCCTCTGATGATCCCAGCTGAGCCGCTCGATCCTCAGAGGCTGTTTTTTTTAAAATTATTTTTAAAAGCATTTTTTCAGCCGAAGAGGTTGTAGAAAAAATGCTTTTAAAAGTAAAAAAAAAAAAGCCTCTGATGATCGTGGGCTCAGCTGGGCATGGTGGGGGAGGGCGCAGGGCTTTTTGCTACCGGTTCTCCGAACCACCCACCGCCATCGCTACCAGATCCGGCGATCCGGTCCGAACCAGGAGCATTGTCAAGTTTCCGAAAGATGCCCTAATCAATTCATGAGCCATGATCCAAACTTCAAAGGAAATATATTCATTTATTAGGAGCAACATTCCGGCAATACTCGGATGCAGTTAGGACTGATCCTACGTAGATTTACGTTCCCCTATGACCCTGTCTCTCCCCTCCTCTCTGGCCATGTCATAAATCACATTCTCCAATTACCCACTTTGGCTGGCTGTGAAACCTAACACCCTCCTTCTGATTGCGGTCAGAAAGAATGTATGGAATTCACTTCGGTTCTCCCTCCCTCCTGCTCATGGCAACTTGAAAGCTTTGCAAGTTGACAAGCATTTCACCCCTGCCCGCTAGCACAAAAACGGGGCATGGGGGGGTGGCGCACCCACCCCACCCCGTTTTTGGTTCCAGGAGGCTTCAGGGAGGCCTGCTAGCACAAAAACGGGGGTGTGGGCAGAGGGAGCACGGGGGGGGGGGGCATGCACACATGCGCGGGGGGGGCCCGGGGGCAGGGCCTGCGGGGAGGCATTGCATTATGGGTGTCGGCATGCGCACTGTCACACCCACACACACGCTTTGGGCACCTGAATAAAAAAAGGTTCGCCATCACTGAAATAGGGCCTGTGCCGTATCAGGATGACGGGTGAATCTTTTCTTTGATGATCGTTTTTATTAGTTTTCATTTTAAAATAAAAATACAGGGGAAAAACCAAGAAAAAAGGCAAAGGGGAGGAAAAGGGTGATTTTAAAACTTTTTTTCAGTGCAGTAAACTACAAAAAAAAAAAAAGGACACACAACCTTCACCTTTGGATTTAGGTTTCTAAATATTTCAAGAATAGTAAAATCATTCATCATCAAAATTTCATATTTTTTTTTTCATTTTGAGCAAAAAGCCGAGAAGCTTTGGTTTTCAAAGAGAACCAAAATTAGATAAATACTTCTCTCTAATTAAAATAGTTTGGCTATCCCCATAATTACAGGCAAATCTTGTACTTGGAGAACTTTATTTTGAATACCATATTTTCATTTGCATCCCCAATTTCATTAGTCAGTAACTTTGAAAGTAAAATATTATTCATGTATAATTTTGGTTTTTTTTTCTTTTTTTTTAAAAAAAGCTAAAAATGAACTATATAAATCTAACTCAATTCCAGTTTTGAAGAGCTGGCAATTTCTTCAGCTTTCATCTCCATTTTTGGGGGCCTTGGCTTGGGAGTGGGAAGTGAAACAGGACCAGTGATGTTTTAACTTTGTTGTAAGGGGTGAGGCCAATTTTTTTCGGCAGAGGTCTCCAAACGCAAATTTAAGTTTTGTGGATTTCAAACTCTCAGAAATCCTCACATAGCTGGTTGGAGAGTTCTGGGAGTTGAAGTCCATAAGTTTTAAAGTTGCCAAGTTTGGAGAGCCCTGTGCTAGGAGATAAACTGGATTTACCCAGGTGGGAAAAACAAAACTGTCTCAGGTTTTTGCTGGTTCATTTTAGGGAGGTCATTTTGCCTTTTCCTGTCATTCTGGAGATTTCTGGATGCCCGTCATCTAACAAAGGAGACCTAAAGTCTTGAAACAATTACTCTTAACAATTCTAAATATTTGGTTTCCAGCTACGCAGGAGCTTCTCAGTGCTACTGAGAGCATCGCCCTTACTCCCACATCTGGAAGGATAAGTCAAACATCTGCTCCGGAGCTATTCACCACAGCTGACTGGAAGTCCTCAGTTGGAACAACCACTAGCCTCCTCGATCTTGTTTCCACCAAGCAAACCAGCTCTGGGACATCTGTGGCTACACCAACAGCCGCCCCCACGCTGGAATCCCTAACTGAAGATCACAACTCCATCACACTGGTCAACAACTCCGCTGGATCTTCTTACCCAACAGGTAACCCTCTGGCAGAGCTAGGGACCACCTCTCCAAAATTTGAGACATGGTCCATCACCATGCACAATTCCGTTTTCAGATCAGTGCTGGGTTTCAAATTTTTTTACCGCCGGTTCTGTGGGTGTGGCTTGGTGGGAGTGGCATGGCTTGGTGGGCGCGGCAGGGGAAGGATACTGTAAAATCTCCATTCCCACCCCAATCCAGGGGAAGGTTACTGCAAAATCCCCATTTCCTCCTGATCAGCTGAGACTTGGGAGGCAGAGAATAGATGGGGGCGGGGCCAGTCAGAATTTTTACTACCGGTTCTCCGAACTACTCAAAGTTTCTGCTACGGGTTCTCCAGAACTGGTCAGAACCTGCTGAAACCCACCTCTGCTTCAGATGTCACTAGGTTTAGGTCTTTCAGCCAAACTCAAGATTGTTTTGCTTGTCCCTTACTTAACAGACGAAGAATTAACTACCAAGCCAATTTCCACGACAGAAGGGACCACAGAAAAACCAACTACCAAGCCGGTTTCCACGACCAACGGTTTCTCGACAGAAGGGACCACAGAAAAACCAAAGGACCTCTGCCGACCCACAATCGTGCCTGTGCCCGCCCAAGGGATCATGGGAGGCGCCCTTCGCATCACGTGCCAGACCGCAAAATGCAGCAGAGATGTCCAAATCCAGTGGGTGGAAACCCCAGCGGCCCAATCGCAGTACCGTCTGGAGGAAGCCGAGGGCCGTTCAACCCTGATGGTTGAGAGCGTCAGCTTGGAGCACCAAGGGGTCTATCGATGCGTTGCGATTGCCAGCCCACCCCGAACAGCAACCTTGCGTGTCGTGGTATCTGCCGGTGAGTGAGATGAAGTTGCGCGTGCAAAATAGTCTTCAACTTACGACAGCTTGTTTAGTGGCTGTTCGAAGCTACAACGGCACTGGAAAAAAAGTGACTTATGACCGTTTTGGTTTTTTTTAATTGAAAAAGTTTTACAAACATCAATTTTTCCCCCATTTCCCCCCCACCCATCCCTCCCTAACCCTCCCAAACCCTCCCTCCCCATGACTTCCCCAAGGTGAAATCCATCCACATTATATCATACTTTACCACCCTTCTATTGTCCCCCCTGTGCACTATACATTTCTATTTAACAATAAACTATTTTGCCCCCTATAAACTATACATTTCTACACAACATTTAGCTAAAAGCTATCTGGTACTTCCTAGTTTGGTATTTATTCTGCACATAATCTATCCATTTCTTCCACTCCCATGCATAAGTCTCTTGAGTCCGGTCTTTTAAGTATGCTGATACCTTCACCATTTCTGCGAAACTGGCCATCTTCAAAGTCCATTCTTGAATTGTAGGCATATCAACCCTTTTCCAATATTGACCAATCAGTAACCTAGCTGCTGTCACCATATACAATATCAATTTTGTTTCACCCACTGAAAAACCCTCAACTATACCCAGTAAAAACAGACTTATGACCGTTTTTTATACTGACGAGCACTGCAGCATCCCCGTGGTCACGTGATCAAAATTCGGACGCTTGGCAACTGACTCGTATTGATGACGGTTGCAGTGTCCTAAGGTCATGGGATTCCCCTTTTGCAACCTTCTGACAAGCAAAGTTAATGGGGAAACCAGATTCACTTAACAACCGTGTTACTTAACAACTGCAGCAGTGGTGAAATCCAATTTTTTTTTACTACCGGCTCTGTGGGCGTGGCTTGGTGGGCATGGTATGGCTTGGTGGGCGTGGCTTGATAGGCATGGCAAGGGAAGGATACTGCAAAATCTCCATTCCCACCCCATTCCAGGGGAAGAATACTGCAAAATCCCCATTCCCTCCCCACTCCTGGGGGAAGGATATTGCAAAATCTCCATTCCCACCCCACTCTGGGGCCAGCCAGAAGGTGGTATTTGCCTGTTCTCCTAACTACTCAAAATTTCTGCTACCGGTTCTCCAGAACCTGTTGGATTTCACCCCTGAACTGCAGTGATTCACTTAACAACAGTGGCAAGAAAGATCCTAAAATAGGGCAAAACTCATTTAACAACTTAGCAGCAGAAATTTTGGGCTCAATTGTGGTCATAAGTCGAGGACTATCTGTATTGGGTTTGGGTCACATTTGAATGCACCAGGATAAAATCTGGTTGGGTGACTTTGGGCTAATCACCAGGAGACCGTGAGTTCTAGTCCTGCCTTAGACATGAAAACCAGCTGGGTGACCCTCTCTCAGCTCAATCCACCTCACAGTCTTGCCGTTGTGGGGAAAATAGGAGGAGGAGGAGGAGGAAGAAGTATTAAATACGTTTGCTGCCTTAGCTTATTTATAAAACTAATGAAGGTGAGATTTAAAAAAACTAAAATAAATAATGTATTTTTAAAAACATTTTTTGAAAATGCGTTAAAATGGCTAATTGTAAAGTTTTAATGTTAAAAAAATCTTTACAAAAACAATACTATTTACATTAAAAAAGAATGAACTTATATGAATGAAGAAGAGATCAAATTACCATAAATTGTGGAGAAATGTAATATAGAGGCAGAGGTCTTTAATATTTGTAACCCGGTATTTCTAAACCTGGGAAGTGGCTCGTCTTAGTTTCTTGCTCACCTACAGACAGAGAAAGGAAGGATGGAATATACTAACAATAACAATAACAATAGCACTTGGATTTATATACCGCTTCACAGTGCTTTACAGCCGTCTCTAAGCGGTTTACAGAGTCAGCCTCTTGCCCCTAACAATCCGGTCCTTGGAAGGATGGAAGGCTGAGTCAACCTCGAGCCAGTCAGGATCGAACTCCAGACTGTGGGTAGAGTTTGCCCGCAATACTGCATTCTTACCCCTGAGCCACCAGTGAGCTCTGTGAGGTGGGTTAATAGAAGATGGATGCACCTGTCTGCTTATGGCACTAAATACATGGTTTGCACACCTTTCCTTTTGCAGATGTTGTCAACACAGATGCCCTTTTCACCATCGGAGCCACCGGATCGCTCTTCGGACTGATCATCACAGGCTACATCGCCCATCGATGGCGGCAACGGCAGAGATGGTGAACAAGCGAAAGGCCAAAAGATTTCTGTCCCATCTCCTTGGCTATGCCCCCTCTGGCTTCTAGACTTCCGGCCAGACCATGAAAATTATTCTCTGGTCTTCAAGGGCTATCAGGGACTCCCACCGGACACATCGCCAGGATTTTCTGCACTGCTCAAGATCATAGAGGTGGAAATGAAGAGCCCGTTTCCAGGGTCGTTCGCCCCATTGACGGGGCAGAGGTCATTCGCTGCAGAACTGATGGCCGGATCCTTCTTCAGTTTTGATGTGAACTCGGTGGAACTGTAGGTTTGAGTGCAACTGTTTATGTCAGGCGCGGACAACTAGAGCCACTCGGGAAAAGTCTAAGCCAGTAACTCTATTGACTTCTACCTATACTACAAGAATCTCCCAGATAAGGTTCCACGTGACTAAGGGGGAGTCAAGCTTATGCATCTCGTGACTGCTAGGACTCAAGGCTGGGTCCCTGCTTGATCCCTCCTGCCTGCCTGGCTGGGAGTTTCCCAACAGTTTAGGATGGACCTATAAGGATGCCAGCCAAGATCGGCTGCTACGGTTTTGAACATTGAAGGGAAAGTAACTCAAATGAGGTTTTTCTTTCTCACGCTCCCTTTTTTCTGCACATCCTGAACCTACAAGCACTGGTTCTCAAATATGTACTTTCTGAAAGTTTCAGGGTTTTTTTTTCACATCCCAGCCAGCAGGAAGTTTATTTCAGAGAAAGGCTAAATTATCTCTGGGGCTGGTGAGTATACTGGGAATTTGAAGAGCATGATATGGGTGCTCTCGCCAAATGGCTTTAACAGAATAACACAGTTGGAAGGGGATTCGAGTCCAACCTCCTGCTCAAACAGGAGACCCTACACCACTTCAGACAAATGGTTATCCAACCTCTTCTTAAAAACTTCCACTATTGGAGCACATACAACTTCTGGAGGCAAGTTGTTCCAGTGATTAATTGTTCTCACTGCCAGGAAATTTCTCCTTAGTTCTAAATCGCTTCACTCCTTGATTAGTTTCCATCCATTGTTTCTTGTCTTGCCTTCAGACGCTTTGGAGGATGGGTGGACCCCCTCTTCTTTGTGGCAGCCACTCAAAAACCGGAATACTGCTATCATGTCCCCCCCCCCAAATCCTTCTTTTCTCTAGACTGGCCATACCCAATTCGTGCAAGGGTTCTTCCTATGTTTTAGCTTTCAGTCCTCTAATCAGCTCTGTTGCTCTTCTCTGCACTATTTTCAGTGTCACAACTGGAAACTCTCTCTACCACACATTTATTTCCCAGGTGAGATTGGTCCTGCCCACCACCGCTAGATAGAATAGAATAGAATATTAGAGTTGGAAGGGACCTTGGAGGTCTTCTAGTCCAACCCCCTGCTTAGGCAGGAAACCCTACACCACTTCAGACAAATGGTTATCCGTCATCTTCTTAAAAATTTCCAGTGTTGGTGCATTCACAACTTCTGGTGCGACATGCCTGCTTACCTATGTTGTTGTAGGTACATTTCCAGTCAGGGATTCTAACAATTGTAATTATTTGGTGAGATGTAACAATGTGAAGATCCTGTTTTGTTCCTGTTCCCAGCTGTAGGACTGTAATTGGTTCCCACACTAATAAAGGTTTCAACAATCTCTGCAAAGAAGGCCACGTCCTCCCCAGGTCCCAGAAAGACTTCTAGAAAGGACATCAGAAAGTCTCACTTCAACACACCCGGGGATAAATTGGTTCTAAAGCGGAACTAATTCAGGTGCTGGAATTCTTGTGACACCCTCTCCAATACAGTTGGTCTTCGATTTACGACCATAATCAAGCCTTGAGGACTTAAGTCATGACGGTCAAAAAGCAGGTCATTATGTGGGTGACCTTTTTGCAGCAGTTGTTAAGTGAACACCACAGTCGTTAAACAAACCACCATTGATTGCTCTGGGTAATCTTTGGTGGAAATTAGAAGTAAATGCCGGTTTTCAGCAACAATGGTAATCACATTTTTTTTTTAATTTGATTTATATGCCGCCCTTCTCCGGAGACTCAGGGCGGCTTACAATGCGTTAAGCAATAGCCTTCATACTTTTGTATATTTATACAAAGTCAGCTTATTGCCCCCACAAACTGGGTCCTCATTTCACCTACCTTAGAAAGGATGGAAGGCTGAGTCAACCTTGAGCCTGGGGAGATTCGAACTTACAGTAATTGCAGACAGCTGGTGTTAATCACAATGCTATCAGTCTGCTGAGCCACCAGGCACCAGCCACATGACCATGGGACGACGCTGCAAATGGACACAAATGCAGGCCGCTTACCAAGGGCCCAAAATGCAGTCACATGACCATGGGGGGGGAGGGGGGCTGTCAGAATTCCAGAACCAAATCTAAATCCCTTTTGGGTGCTCCGTCCTAAGTTTGAACGGTCACTAAGTGACTGGTCATAAATCAATAACTCTCTGTAAAACTTTGTAAAGACAACTCTGCAAGAATCACACTAGGAAGAAAAATATCTTTGCTTCTAGGTAAAGGTAAAGGTTCCCCTCGCACATATGTGCTAGTCGTTCCCGACTCTAGGGGGCGGTGCTCATCTCCGTTTCAAGGCCGAAGAGCCAGCACTGTCCGAAAACGTCTCCGTGGTCATTTGGCCGGCATGACTAGACGCCAAAGACGCACAGAACGCTGTTACCTTCCCACCAAAGGTGGTCCCTATTTTTCCACTTGCATTTTTTATGTGCTTTCGAACTGAAGCTGGGACAAGTAATGGGAGCTCACCCCATTATGTGGCACTAGGGATTCAAACTGCTGAACTGCTGACCTTTCAATCGACAAGCTCAGAGTCTTAGCCACTGAGCCATCACGTCCCAAACCAACTGCCAGCCAAACCAGCTGCCAGCCAGGGCAGAAGGGTGGTTAGGAATGCAGAGACTCCAGAAATCTGATCTCTGCTTAGCCAACCTTGCAGGGTGTTTGTTGAGACTATAAAAATAACACAAAGGACCTGCAACTCTGAGCAATGTTAATCCAGTATTTTATGCTGGGCTAGCTGGGGTGCATAGCCTCCTGTCTCAATAAATCTCACTAGAGACCTGGACTTTTTTTTTTTTTTAAAAAAATCACTTTCCATTTAAGGAGGTTGCCAAGAAGCCGGACACACCATGTAGGATCTTGAACTTCTGGCAGAACAACCCATTTCCCCCCTTTCAGCTTTTTCCTCATCTAAAATTGTGCGGTAGATGATTGATTGGGTGCCATTACATTGTTGACTCCCAGCAACCACATAGACAGATTTTCTCCATCACAATCTCTCCTTAACCTGGTTTTTCAGGTCCTCCAGTGTTGTCCCCATTGCCACTGTTACTCAGTCCATCCCAGGGGTGAAATGCTACCGGTTCGGGCGAATCTGTAGTAAAAAAATGCTACCGGTTCGGGCGAACCGGTATTTTCGACGATCAGCTGGGCGATGATCAGCTGTGATGCAAGATTTATATTAGCTAGAATCGTCGGATTTCCTGCTTTCTAGCTAATCTAAATTGCGTGGCACAGCGGATTTCCCCCCCCACTGTTCTACTTACCTTTGCAGACTCAGAAAACTTCAAAATGTTCCTTTTTTAGCGCTGTGTGGCTGTGCACTCAATAGCACACTCACCAACCTCTTGGCTGCTGCTGGTCCTTCTCTTCTTCTTTTTTCCTTCCACCTTTCCCAGCATCAGAGCCGCTTCCGGAAAGTTGGGTCTTCCCATAATTAGTTCAAAGTAGGATAATTTGAGCCTGGTCATTGGTGCCTTGAGTGACAACTTTGGATTGATTTGTTCTTTTGATCTATTTATTTGTTTTCTTGGCTGTCTGTGGTATTCTTTAGCCCAGCCAATAAAAATATAATAAAAAAATCCTGATTTCAGTTCATTTCCATTTCTAGGTATACATTTTAATTGCTGCCTCTTTCTCCTCTTACGTTAACAATTGTGTACGTTTTTTAAAGCTGTAATGCGATCATTGCAAACTTAACAGTTTTACAAAGCAAGGAAATTTGGCGCGTAGGAAGTTAGATTAGGATGTTGTGAGTTTTGTTTCAAGCCCATTTTAAACCATCAAAATTCCCTGGGCAATTTTGGGCCTTTCTTTCTCTCTCTTCCTTGAGCTGACCTACTCAGGATTATTGTTCTGGGAAAAAATGGAAGGACGGAATGCTAGGGATATAGGTAGGCCTCCACTTACGACCGGAATTGAGCCCGGAATTGTGGTCATAAGTCGAAACATCATGTGACTGATGTTTCAAAGTTACAACTGGCTTTTTTACAATGGTCATTAACTGAATGTTCCAGTGTTAAGTAAATGCCACAGTTGTTAAGCAAAATCTTTTTTCCCAAAGGATATTTTTTTACTGGAAAATAGGAAATCACCCTCAGAAACCAGCAAAAAATACCCCAAGTCAATGTGATTGCAGAAGACTGAAAAAAGCCAAAAAGATCAGTTAGTTGCCAAGCACCCAAAATGCAATCACATGATTGCTTTGCGAGTGTGTGTGTGTTTGTGTGTGTGCACGGATGCTGTCCAGTGCAGGAACTCAAGAGTCCAGGCAGTTGAAATGAGTATATAGATTTACTGTTCGCTAAAGCATTCTACAAGAATCTGACCTACTAACAATCAAAGCAAATTGGTGGTAGATAAGAGTCAACAGAATTCAAGGTTGAGATGGACTTTGGTCTCTTGTGGGTGCAAAGGAACTCCAGACCGATGATGTATTTGACCCCTCCCTTGGGCTCAACCTGGTCATCTCCTACACATGTATGGCCATTGTAACTCCAAAAATGGATCACAAGCAGCTCTGGGAAGATCTGTCTTAACTTTGAACTGTCTTTAAGCGACCGGTTCAGAGGTGGGTTTCAGCAGGTTCTGACCAGTTCTGGAGAACCGGTAGTGGAAATTTTGAGTAGTTCGGAGAACCGGTAGTAAAAATTCTGACTGGCTCCGACCCCATCTATTCTCTGCCTCCCAAGTCCCAGATGATCGGGAGGAAATGGGGATTTTGCAATATCCTCCCCCTGGATTGGGGAGAGAATGGAGATTTTACAGTATCCTTCCCCTGCCACGCCCGCCAAGCCATGCCACACCCACCAAGCCATGCCACACCCACAGAACCGGTAGTAAAAAAATTTGAAACCCACCACTGGACTGGTTGTAAATCGAGGACTACCTATACTACCTTGAGCTCCTTATAGGGAAACAAGACATCCCTTTAACAAATAAAGTTGATAGCAGATCTTTGGGGGGGATACCTGGACTGCATCCCCACAGGTTGTTTCAGTTAACAGTTTTCCTTGTCTTTTTCGGTTGAGCTGTTTGCTTGCATTTCGTTTGTGCGACAGGCAGTTAATATCTGGACTTTGTTATCAGAAGCTGTAGACTTCTTGAAGTCACTGAAGGCTGACCTTTCATTCAGTTACGGAATCTGGTCGAATGGCCAATTCTGAAGACCCCCTGAAGACAACGGCTTGGCCCTCAGGACACTTCTGGACATGGGAACCATCTTTTGGAGACCAGACAGTATAAGCCTGCCATATCTCGGATACCCAAATCCAGATGACCACCAGAGTACAACAAAGAATTAAAAGTTTCCGCATCACTTGGTGTTTCCATTTAAATTGCGTGTGGACAATTCTAGAATTTGCAGGACGGTTTCCAAAGAGAAAAAAAACGCCAAGAGAGACGCCAGGACTTTTAACAAAAGTTTATTAAGAAATTGCCCATAAATATTTACAACTACGGGAGGATATATGACCCCAGTCGGTCGGGTAAATCCTAACTGGTGGAAAAAGTTCGTGTTCCTGAACTTGAGTCACAAGGAAGCTAGGGAAAAGGGCTCTCTTTTATCTCTTAATCCTGGCAATCTTATATTTCCCCACTCCTCCATCCTAGTTCGGGAATAATTAGCGAGGGGAAATCAGTGTTAGCATTTGCCCTCAATGGAAAGGAAGAGAATAAGCAAAGCACACAATGAGGAACAGGCATGGGAAGGAATGCAGAGCTTGGCACTAGCAAGCCTGGCCCTTTTAAGATACAAAAGGAATGAAATGGATTAGAATTAACCCAATTTCAGATAGCAGGGCAAGCTGGCCCCGGGTGCTTTTTTTTTTTTTAATTTGATTTATATGCCGCCCTTCTCCGAAGACTCAGGGCGGCTTACAATGTGTTAAGCAATAGCCTTCATCCTTTTGTATATTTATACAAAGTCAGCTTATTGCCCCCACAAACTGGGTCCTCATTTCACCTACCTTAGAAAGGATGGAAGGCTGAGTCAACCTTGAGCCTTGGTGAGATTCGAACCCTGCAGTAATTGCAGGCAGCTGGTCTTAATAACCAGCTTAATAACAGGGTGCCTTAAACCCCTGTACTACCAAGGCTCTTTAACGAATCAAAGTTGCAGAGCTGAGCTAACTTGCCGTTGGCCCCTTTCAGAGGGAAGCACAGTCTGCAAAGCAAAGAAAATTTGAGGGAAAAGAGAGATATACCTTGTCCAAGCAATCTCTTTCCCTCTGCAAGGGACCACATTTTTGAGAAAAAAGGGAAAGCGGGTGTCAGTTGCGAACAGATCATACATGAAGAGGGTCAGTTGGGCTTCTTTATTTCTCACGTCCGTTTCACAGGAATCTTCCCAGTCTGGCACCCGGGTGTCAGGTTTCGACGTCATCTCAAATAAATTGCACTCCCAAACAATTAATCTTTGCTGAAATATTCCGTTTATTGAGTACGACAGATCTGGCCCCGACTTCGTCGTAGCCGATATTAACCCTCTGACCCGCCCCCCCAAACCCTTCCCTTTCCGTTCCCCAATTCTCATCTTCTCATTGGCCATCTTCCAAGTCAGTCTCCCCAGCTTCTGACCTCACCCCACAGGAATGTTCCTCCCTCCTATCCCATCTCCTAGGGGATATTATCTACAGAGAAAGTAAGTAGATGAAAAGTCAAGCCTCATCTTTTTATGGCAGCATCAGAATGCTGACACTGGGCCTGTCTAGATAAGGTTCAGCTGCATTCAATAGAGGTCAGACCAGGGGTGGGTTCTACTTACCTTTACTACCAGTTCGCATCCCGCCCGCATGTGTGCGCTCTTCTGCGCATTCGCTCTTCTGCGCACGCACAGATCACCGATGACGTCCGGGTCAATGGGTAAAGCCTCCCACCAGTTTTACTACCGGTTCTTGCGAGCCGGTCCAAATGGGGGTCAACCCACCAATCGGTCAGACGTTGCCCTCTTTGTGCCTATGTAAGGATTCCAGACTAGTTCCCTGCTTGACTCCTTCCCCCTGCCTCGGCCAGTCTCTCTCTCTCTCTCTGACAAAAGGAGAAGAAAATACAATATATATATATATAAGTTAGGCAATCAAGTATAGGACACTTCTCCGCCTTCTAGGGGCAGTCTACATTTTCATAACCAATATGTTTATTCCTAAAAAAAATCACTGACTTCCTCCAACAAGCCAAAGCTTTGCCTTCGTAGTATTTTTTTTTTTTTCCCCCAGAAAGGGAAGGTCAATTAGCTATGACAGCTGGGTGCAGATTCCCAATTCAAAGGTAGCAGATGTTTAGAAAACTGTTGCTAGGGAACAAAAGGGGCAGGATCGCATCTTTCCCGTTGCCATGTTCACTCGCAGGTTCTTCTGATTCCTTATTATTCTTAAGGTAAATCTTTCTATGTAGAAGGGGTGGCAGAACCTGGAGGGCGGAGTGAAAGGAGATCAGCCTAGAATCCCTACGTAGCTACAAAAGAACTAAGACCAATCGCTCCTTGAGTGCCCATTGGTCCTTATCTAACCCAAAAGGTTAGCTGAGAAGATTTCTGTGCATACCTTTTTAGCAATAATTCCATTTAATTGAACCTTCAACTGTGTGTTCCTGGTCTTTTCGTGCCTGACAATTTCCAAATATATGAATACCAATAAAGGAGAATATTTGTAGCTCAGGGTTGAAATGAGGGGTACTCGGTGCTCCCTGTTGTTGCTTGTTTTCTTGCGGACGTTTCGTTACCCAGCCAGGTAACATCATCAGTGGTAGAAGAGGGTGAGATTTGTGGGGGGGAGGAGGAGGGAGGGAGGGAGAGAGAGAAGAAGGAGAAGGAGAAGAAGAAGGGAAGGAAGGAAGAAAAAGAAAGAAGAAAGAAGAAAGAAAGAAAGAAAGAAAGAAAGAAAGAAAGAGGGAAGGAAGGAAGAAAAAGAAAGAAAAAGAAAGAAAGAAAGAAAGAAAGAAAGAAAGAAAGAAAGAAAGAAAGACAAGACAAGACAAGACAAGACAAGACAAGACAAGACTGTGGGGTCCTTGGTGCTCTTTGAGCATGCTTCTTTTCTTGCAGAAGTTTCATTACCCAACCTGGTGGTGTAGTGGACTAAACTACTGTTAAAGTAGTACTTAGCTGCCAGCTGCCTGCAATTACTGCAAGTTCAAATCTCACCAGGCTCAAGGTTGACTCAGCCTTCCATCCTTTCGAAGGTAGGTAAAATGAGGACCCGGATTGTGGGGGCAATAAGCTGACTTTATATAAAAAAAGAACACCGCTTTGGGTGGGGAGGCGAAAGTCCTACTAAGCAGGTATATACAAAAGTATGAAGGCTATTGCTTAAAAAGCATTGTAAGCCGCCCTGAGTCTCCGGAGAAGGGCGGCATATAAATCAAACATAATAATAATAATAATAATAATAATAATAATAATAATAATAATAACAACAACAACAACAACAACAACAACAACAACAACAACCAGGTAACCTCATCAGTGTTAGCATGGAGTGCTGTTTGCTATCAGTTTATATTCTGGTGGCTTCTCTTTTGGGCTGGTTGATTGTCTGTTTTGCATATGCAAAAAAAGAGACCATCGACTCAGCCCAAAAAAGAAGAAAAACACTC